TTTAGATAAAATAATTTTCCCTAAAGAATTAGGAATGATATTAGATAAAAAAGAATTATCATCATTAGAAGATCAAGTGTATATTAATAAACAAATAAAAGAACTAGAATATTTATATTATGACTCAGATTTAAATATAAGGATAGGAATAAGTAAATAATAAATAGAAGAAACAAGATCTGATTATAAAGAACTTATGGATAATGAAAATGTTTATAAATCTTTTGATGAGACACCTTTTGATATAACCATAAAACATGAGACATTAACTTATGGATATGGTTATCTACCAAGAGGAGCTTATAATATTTATAATAACCCACCAGAAAATACTAAATATGTTTCAAGAGGAAGTGAAAGATCATTAGAAAATAAAATAGAATTTCAAGCAGCTAATAAATCACAAATATTAAATATTACAGTACATGATCCACAGATATGGACAAATGTAATAGATGTATGGAAAAATACTATAATAGGACATTTTATTAGAAATTTCCAAGAAATGAAACCTTTAGATATGTAAAGGTATTTAAAAATATTTTTAGGAGAAAGTACTAAAGCAATGTGGGAAGCATTTAAAATAGAAAGAAAAGAAGAATTTGAACAATTAATAAGCATAGGAAGTAATCCTTATAATTTTGTCAATAAAATTCAGATATTAATTACTAGAGCAGATCCAAATTCAAGACACATGAGTATACTAAGGAAAGCAATGTAAGACTTAAAACAACTTAGTTTATTTAAATGGACTAAAGATAGACATGTTAAGAGATTTTTAAATGAATATTATTACCTAGTGTCAATTTCAGGAAATACATTTAATCAAGAAATAGGAAATAAATTATTTCATAAATTATCAGGATCATTAGGGTTAGAAATAATAGACTCATGGAATAATTTAAATTCAGTAAAAGAACATCCAGAAAAACAATGGCGTATAGGACATAGAATTCAATATGTAATAAGATGCTTAGAAGGAAAATGTGTAGAACTACAAATACAAAAAAACTTAAAAAGACAGATTATAAATTTTGTAAAGATATTTTTACACCACAAACATATGGAGCCTCTAGTTCAAAGAGTTATAAGAAAAGATATAAAAAAGATAAAAGACCAATTAGGAAAAAATAATTTATTAGAAAATCTAATAAAAGAAAACCTTATTTAGACGACATAAGACATGTTAGAAAATTTAAACCAGATAGAACTTATAGAAATAAACTTAATTGTTATGTTTGTAATAATAATGAGCATTTAGCCAAGACTTGTCCAAAAAGAATAAACAATAATGATAAAAAAAGTACATTAATAGAATGCACTAATGAAGATCTAATACAGATAAATGATGATGTATCAGATAAAGAATCTATATATAATATAATATCTATTGAAGATATAAATCTGAAAATAGGACAAGAAGAATCTGATTATGAGATTTTAGGTATAAAAATTAATAATGAATCAGAATCAGAATCAGAAGAAGATATAGAACTAGTAGAAATAGAGGGTTGAATACATAATTGGCAAAAAAATACAAGAACAGATAATATAACATGTTATTTATGTTTTTGATATCCAATTAGAAAATTAAGAGCAAAATGTTTAGAATGTTATAAAGAAGCATGTATTAAATGTTTAGAAAATAATAATTTAATAATTAAAGAAGAAGTAAAAATATAATTTACTCAAGAACAAACAAAAATTTTAGAAATAAGAATTCTTACGAAAATAATTGAAAATTTAGAAGAAATGCAAAAGTTATTTATAAGAAGAATAAAAATCTTAGAAAATAATAAAGGAAAAAATATTATAAAAGAAAACCAAGACTCAATACAAACAGAATATATAGAAGTAGTTTGTAATTTAGAAAAATTAAAAGATATTAAGATAAAATGTCAAATAAGAATAGACAATTATATTATAAAATGCTTAGGACTTGTAGATTCAGGATGTAGTAATTGTGTAATTAATAAAAGATTAATACTAGATAAATATATTGTAAAATCAAAAGAACCAGTTAATGCACAAGAAATGGATGGAGAATCATATACTTATACAGAAAAATTAAAACCAAAAAGTATAATTAGTTTTGAAACTACTTGTGGATTAAGTATAGAATATACATTACCTATAGAATCTACATGGGTAAGACGATTAAAATTAAAAAACATAGATTTTATTATTGGATTAAATTTTTTATTAAAAGACAATGGTAGAATAACAATTACTAAAAATTTTGTATATTTACAAAAACATACATTATTCATACCATATTATTTTATTTTTTTTGCAGGGATTTTATATAATCTTCTAAGATCCTATTTGATTGCCTACCAATTTCCATGGAAAATGAAAAATAACCAAGATTTTTCAACTTTTGTGGTGTTTGGTAGGAAAAAAATTTCATGAAAAACATTTTCCACTTTCCTTGGCCATGTAGATAATTTCCAAATTTTTGATGAATTTGAATTCTCACAAAAATGGTGAGAATTCATTTTCCATATTACTGTAGCGATTTATTTTTTTCCATTTTTTTTTTGGAAATGAAAACAAATTTTAAGACAATTTTCATATAAAATAAAGCCAGACGAATACCAAAAGATAGATGATTTTCTTAAATATTTTTTTTTTTACAATGGAAACAAATTTCATTCCCAATACAAATAAATTTTATTCCTTTAATTGACAATTTTCATGTAAAACAAAGTTAAATGAACCCCAAAAAATACTTTTATTTCAACATTTTTCACGTGAAAAATTATATTAATCAAACACAATAAATTGAAAATTCTCAGGACAACAATTTCTAGACAATTCAATTCTTTGAAATTCGTTTTCTTTCCACTCAAATTCCATCTTTACAATCAAACGGACCCTAATTCCCTACTTGACAGACATTTTTTTGGAACAATGAATTTTTAAAGAATGATTATTTAAAAGTAGGAAAAAAATTTAGATTTATGGGAATAATATTTATTGTAAGAATGTGTGATTAAAAATGAATCTAAAAAAAATAAAATTGAAAGAATGATTGTCTATCAGAAGGTTAATGTAAGTGTAAGATGACGTAAAAGTATTGCTTTGCATTTTAATTTTAAAACAATAATATATAACTTATTGTTACTTTTAGTTCCTACTTGGTTTAGATAAAAATATGAGTTTTAGTAAATTTTGATAAAAGTTAATTGAATACACGGTTAAAAAAGTTTCAACAAATTGTTTAATCAACTTCTTTAATTCAACCTAACCGCAAATCTGTATTACAAAATATCCAGTGAAAGTGAAGGTACTCTAAAGATGATGTCTACGGTTGTCGATAAATCTCATCTCCAAGGACAAAATATTAGAGGTCATAAAATATGTTAAATCGAAACCTGCTCCTCCATAGAGTTCTTGTCAAGAAGTTGGCAATGAACCAGACAGGAATGGATTGAAAGGATTCATGTAACCAGACTACCAAATTTACTGGAAACACGATTTAGCTTGCTGTAAAATCTAAGTACTTGTCATTCCGCAGGACTTCAATCAGTGTATCAAGAATTGTTGAGTGAGGACATCCCACAGGCAGAGAAAGATGAATTTGATGTCAATATCATAGCAGGCAAAGCAATGGGGGTTTGGTCTTCAGTCCAATCTCAAATGCCTACAGTATAAATCGGCTTCTGCTACAATCGAACGCCCAGTATCCGTAGGGAAAATCCCAAGTTTCACCAGTTCGGTCGGTTTATGAAAAATGAGGAATCCGGTATTCTCGATTTAAATACCGTATATGCCTTTTGTCCGGTAAGATGATATATAATAGCAAGTTATAGTCATACAACTAATTGGATAATAACAGAATGAACAACAAATTAACTATTGAATTTACTGTAATAAATAACAGAATGAATAATTGAAATTGTAGGAAATGAAATTTCAAACCGAGGCTTGTGTTACACACAGTTTCCTTAAAACAGATTCGCCCTCTCACCGTCCGTGCTTGAGGTTTAAAATGAGCGTCCGTTTCCCAGGATACAACGGTAAAACCAGTAGCTTTCGAGCACCGCATAAACCACTCTGGCGAACTAAACTAGTGCCTGAACTACACCACCATCAAGACAGAAATGTAGAAAAGACAGAACTCTATGCAAATGAATTTCTTGTGTATTCTAAACTTGAAAGCTTTTGCTTTGGTGTATTGAAATGAGGAAAATGAGCCACTATTTATAGGCTAGGCTACCATTAATAGCAATGACCTTTGGAGTTTCTCATCTTTTTCCTATGTGGGACAAATTCATTTTTCTCATATAAACTCCCTTTTGAGTGACACACTTTGAGCCTCAATTTCTCATTCATCCGAGCATCATCTTTGGCAAGTAAGTATATGATTTCGATGTAATCATGGAGTAAAATACAAATCAACTTTCATCTTCCAAATTGAACAACCTGGTCCTACTCAAAACTCGTGCCAAAGTCGGCCCATAATTCCCTTTTTTTCTTTTTTTTTTCTTTCCAACAGTATCATCTAAGAATCCCGGAATCTTGGAATGCTTTTGCGAACATATTTGAAGGTGAAGGGGATATCGGGATCCCAATTTTGTCGCCCTCACCATCTCTTGGTTTTGTTCCCCAGTGAAGGTTTTAAGTGTATGGAACAAGTCTTCCATGGCATTTGAGATTCATTTTGATGGGGGGACAGCCACTCAATGAACCAGTAGTTAAGTGAGGTACATTTTTTATGAACAAAAACAAGCAGAGATTGGGAAGGCCATAAAAGACTGTTCATGCAAGAATGGTCTTGAAATGGCCAAGATGTTGGAGATCAAAATGAGTTTGAAACCCTAATATTATTGTGCAAGGGATATTCCTCAGAGAGCATGTTTGGCTAAGCTCTAATATCGATAACTAATCTTCTTGTTCGTTGCTGTCCCTGACCTGTTTATGTTGCTATATGCTCGAATCAACCACTCCTTCCCCACTATGTACAAGCAAGAGAATGATATATGTATCACTCAACATTTCTATGCAAAAGATCATTTTATAACTTCATTATTAAGAATCCAAGAGAACGATAGTATCTCTCATCTAATATACGCATATACAAGCTGGCACACGCACCTCAAATGGGAAGAAATTGCATGAGCTACCAATGAAGCCGAAAACTGGCAGCCTGCATAAGTGGGTGAGCAAAATATGCACCTAAAGTTAATGCTGTTATTGTTAGATATGGTAGTCGAAGAAATTCTTTGTAATAATCTTTTGGCAACTTCTGGCGCCCATCAAGAATTGCTGCAAATGGGATGACACTTGTTCTTGCTTTCACAACTTCAAAAGCCTCACCATGTCGTATAGCCAACCTCCTGTCTCCATTCCATACACCAAATAGATGGTGTGCAATCAAACCCACAGAAGCTGCTACCGCAACAGAATTCCCAATCCAAACTGTATGAGCCACGCACCAAATTACTTGCCCAACCATCTGGATAAAAAAACATAAAGAATAACAGATTGCTTGGCATACAGTATTAGATCTACTAGAAAATATGATGAAGAAGATTTTAGCTTATTCTGCCTTCCTTTATTATTATTATTTTTTTAAATCCTGTCTGTGTTTGCATAATCCACCTTGCTAAACATGCCATGAGAAAGAGAACCTAGGGAGATGGGGAGAAAGGGTAGTAAAGAGAGACTTGAAGGCAAAGGAAGAGAGAACACATTAATAGCAAACTGACATGGTGCCCTAAAGCTTGGGAATAGATCGAAAGTAAAGTAAATATAGAAGTTCAACAGTTTTACTCAATTCTATTACTAATGAACCACTAATTTTTGAAGAAAGACCTTCCGAATATTTTAAAGAAAAAAACAATATATCTGTTTTTCATGGTTATCGTTCTGATTCCATGAAATAATGGAGTTACAGACAAGACATAATTGGACCTGGCATGATTATCTTCCAGAGTCCACGAAAATGGAGAAAATGCTGAAATTCAATGTGAAAGCAGCAATGCAAATGCAAAAAGTTCGTTCAAAACTTTTTGCCTAGATTTATACACCATACTTCTAATCATAAGCCATAGTGAAATTTTGCCCTTGATGACTTCGGTAACTACTTTGTTGAAGAAAGTTTGAAATACTGGAATATTGTTATTAGTAACCACACAATTTGACAACATACTGGATCTTAATATATAGTATAAGATTTCGGCTCGTTATATTTTTTTTAACCGCATATAAGAATCTTAAATTAGCACAACATAAGCTGTAAGAATTCATTCAATCACATTATTATATAAAGCAGAAAAAGGGGCAATTACGAAGGCATTATAGGTTACATATTAGCAGCTTACTGAATATATGTTATTAGAGTGCAAACAGTAATGGAATATCATACCTGTGGGTGCCTCGTAATTCTCATTATTCCGGTTTCCCAAAGATGCATTTTGGGCTTGTCAACAGCTGCAACCTCCAGCAAATTGAAGGTTGACGGGTACAGAAAAAAGAATGAAATAAAATTAGAGAACCAAACAAGTTCATGTATTGCAGGAACACCCTGTAGTTGCCATAACTGTACACCATCATATCTATGGTTAATGAAATAAACCTGCAGAGACCACAGATCTTTTTATTACACTCGTCAAACAGGAATCTCTTAAGTATACATAGAGTAAACATGGGACAGGAACTCACAACTGTACTAAGAGCTAGTGGAACAGCTGTTCCAGCAAACAATACACGGAATGCACGTTCTCCAATGAGTTTTTCACCTGTGTCTCTCAGACTAGCTAAGCCACTATGAGCAATCGCGAAAATGATGGTAAGAAGTAACATTACAACCTGCATAAAAGTGACGTTGACAAAAATTAGCAACAACTACGTACTTAAAAAATTGGGATATTTGATTATAGATGCATGATGAATAAATCTGTCTGCAGAAACCAAAGGATCATTCACCAACATTATAACAACAAGAATATGGAATTTTCGAAAATCATTTCAGACATCTGAAACATAGTAGACTTGTATCATGAATAACAAGTGTCAGAAAAGCAGAGTTCATGAATTACTATAAAGGCTCTTGGAGAGGCATTGATGACCAAATTAGAAATAAATGACCACTAAATGGTTTCAAATAATGAACCTCCATACATTAATTTCATCTTTCAAGTCTTCTTCATCTTTTAAAAAATTAACATGCTTTACAAAAACTTACTAGGAGCCTGTCTGGGAGTGATTTTGAGAATTGATTTTTTGACCGTTAGGAGAAAAGTAGGTCCACTTGTGAGAAAAGAAGTCAAATATGATAGCTCAAATAGTGTGATAACGGTCAAAAAAAATCAATTTTTTAGGAGAAAAAATCACTCGCAAACAGGCTGTAGATCCTTAAAGTTTATAAAAAAGAAAAAAACATTTCAGATGCCTTAACAGACACAAGTGCGTGTACGTTTAAGAAGTATGTAACAAATCAATCTGATAAAATAATCTAATATGAAACTTGACTTTAGATGTTCAAACTATGATCCAGTTGTCGAGAATAAATTTCCTAGAAACTAGAGCTCTTTAAGTAAATAACCTGAATGAAACAAGCTTCTCTTTTCATCTAATTTGATCAACTCCAACTATCAGCACTCCAGTTCTTTAGAAAATTCTAGACAAATATGTGAAATTAGGCTTCAAACTCGTATTGATTTTGTACTTCAACTGCCAGTTTGGTAAAGATAATTATGACTACTTGAAAAAAAAATTCTATTTGAACTTGTAAATGACGGACATGTTTGTATCAAAGAAAACGAATTTATCAGTTTTCATACAAATCAAAACAAGTTGAACCAATCTGAACCAAATAGTGTCTAAATTCCAACCTCAGGGCTCTCGGAAATGCTCGAAACAGCTTCAATGAAGGGTTTACCAAATCCAGTGGAGCTATCAATCCACGCCGCATAAAGAACATAAGCTACAACTCCTGCAACACCAATAAAATAAACCCATGACAAAATCTTCTGTTTCGACAAGTCGAATTGTGCAGAATCTTCCCCCACCAGATAATCAGTCCTCTCGGGTTCTGTTCGTCCTACCTGCATTAAAACCTTCTTCAAAGAGTAAAATTGAGCTGGGGTTTTTGCTAATTGGGTTCTGAAAGGCTTACTTTCAATGGGTTTGAGGTAAGATGAAGAAAAACAAATGGGTTTTGAAGTTAGTTTGGAAAAAGAAATTCTGGGTTTTGGCAGAGGAAGCTGAGGGGAAAGAGGGTGGGACGGTAGAAGAGAAATTGCCATTTTGTCGAGCTCAATGTGTCAATGGAATGTTGTGTGTGCATATATATTTGCTGTACAGTGGGCGAAATGCGCTTCAGTGCTGGGCTTGGGTGGTTGAAGGAAATAATAGAATAATCCACTAGTAGAGCACATTTTACGCACCATTTGCCCCCTATTAAACCCTGTTTGGTTTGATAAGAATTAAAATTAAATTTTTAGTAAATTTTGATAAAAGTTTTTGAAATGTGTGGTTAAAAAGTTTTGAGATCCATACAAAATTTGATTAATATTAATTGTTTGACTTTGATTTAAATTAAAATTTAATTTAAATCAATATTAAACAGGACTAAATTATAATTCATTTTTCTCTTTATTCTTATTAGTCACACATTTTTTGGTTAAATAATATTACACGTAGTCCCAAATTTTTTTTTCATTTTTAACCACATATTTTCTAAAAAAAACTATTTCAACAATTAAAATTTCAAATAATGGGAGTCAAACGGGACATTAGCCTCTATATGGTAATAATTAATATTAATTTTTAATGAATTTTAATAAAAGATGATAAAATGTGTAGTTGAAAAGATATGAATACACAAAATTTGTTATTAAAATATTAATAATTTTGATTTAAATTTAAATTTTAAATTTTAATCCTCACCAAATATGGGCTTAACGTACATAATTCAAATAATTAAGGAAGCATTTGATTTACTTCTTTTAAGCTATTTTTAACTTGCAACTTTGTAAAATGCCAAAAACTTATTTGGCATGATATTTTTAAAAACGAGTTTTTGAAATTAATGTTAAATTTAAAATATATGTTTGACGTTTGAGAAATAAACTTTTAAAAATAAAATAAAGATTTTTAGAAAAAAATAAATTTATGAAAAAATAAATCATAAAATTACAAAAAAATAAAATCTTAAATTCTAAAAATAAAAAATTGAAAAATAAAATCTGAAAATTCTAGAAAATTAAAACTTGTCAAAAAAAAAAAAAAAACTGTTCAAGCTTGGTTATTAAATAAAAAAATTTTAAAAGTAAAATTACAAGTTTCAATAAAATTTAAAATTTCTAAAAAATAAAATTCTCAAAAATAAAAATAATAATACTTCAAACTCTTATGGACTATTAAAATAAAAATTCTTAAAATATATATTTAAATCAACAAAAATAAAAATTTCTCAATTCACGTCATTAATCTTTATTTTTTTATTTCCTATGTTTTGCCAACTTAATTTATTATTTGTTTTACTTTTATAGCAAAAAAATGTTGTAAAATTTTTCAACTGTAAAACATATTTATTACTTAATAATATATGAATACAAAATTATTTTCTATTTTATTGAATAAACAAACAGGCTTTTCATTTTCTGTTCTGAGATACAATTTTTCAAATAGAAGATTGAATTAAAAAATGAAGCGCAAACCAAACAAATCCTAAATTTTCTTGATTTGCGTTAGGATAAATTCTCAAACCTTAGTAATTATAGTATCTATATCCGCAGCCAATTTTTTGTAGAGTAATGCTATTTGTAGTCGATCACTGTCGTAGTCGTCCTATATGACATACATGTAATGATTAGTGATTTGATATATTAATGTGATAGTTTTTTTTTTATACTTTAAACAATAAATTACTAACCTCATATGTATGTAACGTAGCGCGTGACTGCAGTAGTGAGTGACTGCGAATAATATTATTCTTTTTTATAAACAAATCTTAACTTTTAAAAATAATGGTACTTACAAGCAATTTTTATTTGGCTTTTAATGTGCAAAATGTCCCAACATTTCAAATTTTTTGCATTTTCAACCCTAGCTTCATAATTCATTTCAGAAAATATCATTTTCATCCATTTTCTCAATGAAAATCCATAAAATGACAAATTTACCCTTTGTATTGAAATAAAAAAAGAAAAGAAAAGAAAAATCAAAGAATTAATTACAACCATAAGTCCAAAATTTTCAAAAAAATAAAAATAAAATTACAAATGATTCTCAAACAAATAATTGAAAATCAAAATGACGAAGCTTCCTTGGTTTTGCAACATGGCCAAATCTCGGAAGAAAAGCAAACCTTGGCCTCTAATGGGATCTCCGACAACCCGAAAATCCTTAATAATTTGTACTTTGAGAGCTAAAGGTTCACACTAGAGACAAATGATGCTGGGATCTGGGCTCAAGTTTCGACGAGGTGTGAGGGATAAGGACTACATGACCAAAGACAAGTACCAGTCGAATTCCGAGGTCATGCCCTATCATTACTTGGCGTATGTGAAGAACGTAGAACTTGTAGTGTCCAGAAAGAGCTCTCAGTCGTCAAGTGAGTTAGAGAGAGATGCTCTCAATCTAGTGAGAGAAAATCCCACTTGGTGCACATTTGCCTTGAGAGTTTTCTTGTGTATTTTCTTGTGTTAAGTTTGATTTCTACTTCTTCTTGGTGGAAATTGATTTTAACATTCTGGTTTAATACATTTTAAGATCCTGATTTCCAAAGTTTTGAAGAGATTCTGGTCAGTTTTCAGTTGGCTTTCAGTTTTCAGTTTCGACTTGTATACTGGGTTTCATTCTTGCTAGTCGATATTGATGCTGGTTCTTGACATCTCCTTGTGGATTTCTGGCCGATTTTCAACTTCTTGGGCTGTTATGGTTGAGTTTTACTTGTGGAAAGTTTCAATTTCCATTTTCTGGTCGTTCTTCAGTTAGCTTTCTGCCCAGATTCTACTTTGCTAGATTTCTCTTGGTTCCTCTTGGATATCTCTTGCTCGAAAGGTTTTGTGGATACTTGTTTGAAGTTTTTCTGCTGGGTCTTTGCTGGTTTTCTTTTATTGGTTCGGCTGGCTTTCATCCTCTTACCAGCTTAGATTTTGTTTTTCTTTCTAGACTAGATCCTTATTCTTCTTGTTGGACGTTTTTTTTGCACTCGGTTAGTTTTGGTTTCATCTCTTGGCTGTCGATTTTCATTGCTCCTTCTCAGTGTTCTTAGTGCTTCATCACTTCGCATGTTGTATGTATTAGTTTGCTTAGTTTTTTTGAATTGGTCTTCACTGCATCCGTTCTGTCTTCTACTGAGTGTCAGGGGTTGGTGGCTGAATTGCTGCAGATTTGAGGTTTCTTGGTCTGTGTTTGGCTCTCTGTTTTGTGTAGACTTTTTGTACCTTTACAGCTTCTATTTCTGGCAATTTGGCCCCCCAGGTGACTTGGCACACTTTTTGCTTTTGGGCTTGTGTTTGGGCTATTTTATTTCCTTTTTGCCGTTCTGTGGCTGGGCCTTTTGTTGGGCCTGATTCTGGACTGCTTGTGTTGGTCCTCTTCCTTCTCTTTAATTTTTCTGGGCTGCATTTTTCTCCTTTGGTCTCCCTTGCTACCCGTATTTGCTCCCCAGCAGTTTACGTTTCTTCACGGGAAAGAAAAAATGTGCTACCAGCCATTTTAATGGTTTGGCACCTCCCAAGGCCACGATTGTTCGACCGACTGATGGTGTAACGAATATTGTCGCCTCTTTTAAGATAAATGTTGCGAAAAATAATAAGGTGAGTATGCCTTCACCCAGTGTATCATTAACACTTGGAGAAAATGATACGAAATCTGAAAACTCGGATTTTGAATCAAATTCGGTGGAATTGGAGCAATATAAAAATGTTAATGTTGCTGGAAATGGGGTTGTGAAAGATATGAGAGCTCCATGGGTTAATCTTTTTAAAGACAATCGAAAAACGGAAAAAAATATAAAGTTGAAGGCTTTTGAAAATCAATCGGCTGAAGTTGTCTTAGATGAATTGGACGAAGACAATATTGAGAATTCACGGGGATATGGGCCTGTTGGATATTTCGCCGGTCGATTTTTGGAGAAAGTGGCTCTTCTCCAACTTTGTGATTCATGAAAGATGAATTATAAATATTTTGTGCATGCAAGTGGTTGGTTGGTCTTCAAATTTGAAATGGAAGTAGCTAGACTAAGTGTTTTGCATGGGGTCCATATTTGGTTTTTGAGAGACCGTTAATGCTAAAAGTTATGCCACGTTATTTTGATTTTGATGATAAGGACGTGAGTACTATGTCGGTATGGGTAAACCTTCCGAGGTTGTCTTTAGAATTCTGGAATACGAATGCCATGGGAAAAATTGTGCCAAAGGTTGGGAAACCCATCTCAATCGATAAAATTATGGTAACTAGAGGGTGATTTCCTATGCAAGAGCTCTTGTCGAAATTAACGCTTCTATTGAACTTATGCGGGAGGTTAAGATTAGACTCCCAAATGGCACGTTGAGGGAACAATAAATTATTTTTGAACATGAACCAACATTTTGTGGTTCTGGTAAAGTCTTCGGTCATACTTCTTTTGGATACAATATAAAACATGGAGGGGCGGACAAAGGTAAGGCCAAAAATGTGGCATCTACTGATGTACAAACTCAGGATGCTCATGGGACTAAAAAGTAGGCTGGTAAGCCAGCTGCAAATCCACAATCTCCTTTAACTCAATCAGCAAAATGCGGGAAAGAAACTGGGCAGCAATCTGGGATTTTAATTGAGCAACATAGGCAGCCTCTAAACCAAAATTCAGATCACTTAATTGATGACCAGAATGCCCATATTTCGGGTCAGGAAGAAGTGTCATTTGTGGAGGTTGTTGGCAAGAAAAATCAGGCAGCTCATGGAAAAAATAATGCACCTTCTATGGCACCTATTTCTATGGCAGATTCTTCAGTAAAAGTCAATGAGGCAGAATCAAATAATGCTGGAAATGAAAAGCTCAAGGGTATTGTTGTTGAGCAAAGAAAACCGGTTACAAAAATTGACAAAAAGAAGGGTACACCTCTTGCTTCAACGTCATGAAGCTAGCATTTTGGAATATTAGGGATATGAATCAACCCCTTAAACAAAATGGGATTCGTGAATTTATCAAGCAATATTGCATTGATATCATGGGTGTTTTGGAAACAAAGATGGGGGATCGAAAATTGATGAGAATTTGGAGGAATAAGTTCGATAGCTTCATGACAATTTT